GGGTCGTTTATGGGTTTATGAAACAGTTCAGTTTATGAAACAGTTCAGCACAAATTAAACAGACAGGCGGCTAAGCTTTGGCATCTTAAAATGCTCAGAATCAGTTTTAAGATCAGATCCTGCAGCTGGAATTTGAAGTCCAGCTTTCTTTTCCTGTTTGGGCCTCTCTGGTTTGGAGGAGTTTTGTCCCTCGCGGCTCTCCGTAGTTCTCCTGCAGCTCTGGTTTGTGGGGTAAATCAATAAAAGTACAATCATCTCTTCACTTCTCTCTGGTGACTTTCCACTGGTGAGTATTTTAATTTCTGAGAGTCATTTTTCAGCCATTTCTACAGTTGAGAGACAGATTTAGGGGCGATAATTCGGCATGGGAGAAAAACTGATTGTGCTATAGTTTCTGTAAATGTCAAATTAATGTTTTTTTGGCTGTCAGCATAATAAGAATTAAAGACAAAATGTAATTTAGTAGACTGCATTATCACATAACTGTGGATTAGTTCCCACCACAGAATCCCAGAAGGAAACGGGGTTTTTTCGTCCTGTTTGTGTTGTGTTTGTTTGTTTGTTTGTTTGTTTGTTAGTTAGTTAGTTTGTTTGTTTGTTTTAACCTGAAACAGATCTGTTGCTTTAATCTAATAGGCTGAGACCTCTGAATTTAGAATTAAGAATTAGTAATTATCGCCCCTAAATCTGACTCTTAACTGAAGAAATGGCTGAAAGATTTGAATTTTCTGATCAATTCTGAGAATTTATCTGAATTTGAAATGTTCACCAATGGAAAGTTACAAGAGAGAAGTGAAAAAACTGATCATACAAATATTGATTTCCCCCATACCTGCTCTTTTCTCTTTTCTCTTTTGTCTCTAATCATCTTTTGTTCAGTTTTTAGTCTGCTGCTCACAAACCAAAACTTTTAGAAGCTTAAAAATACAGCTCAGTTTTAAGTATTTAAACACATAAATGCCTGAAAGTTCTCAGAGTTTAATGCAGATTCAAGAAAAAAACATTCAAATGAAGGTGAATTTAACCTGATTTAATCAGACCAGGCTTTGAGGCTTTAAACTTTCCCCTAAAGCTTCTGTGTGTCCAGCTAAAGGTCAGAAACAACCTAAAGAAACGGGCATTTCTCCGGTTGCCCGGCAGCTTCCAGAAAAAGCCTCTGACCCTCATTAATCTGCAGGAGAGCAGACTCAGGACAGAAAACTCTGAAAGGAAACCCCCCCCCCGACCCCCCACAGCCCAAACTAACCAAACAATCCTCTACATGTACAGATATCTGTGTTCACAGTGACCTTTTACACCAATCAGGGCTTTTTTCCTCATTCTAAAAGCTGCTTTTTACAGTAGTTCAACCAAAAATGCGTCTTGGTTCATTATTGTTTATTTGTGTTTGTTTGCTTTGGGGACCAAGTTATTTAATAAGAATCTGTGTTAAGTGTATCACTGATACTTGCTCTTTCTTTTGTTATAAAATTCAATGAAAATATTTCTTTAAAAAAAAAAGCGTCTTGGTTTCAGAGTCAGAATCAGAATAAGGTGTTTATTATTTATCATTTTATTATTTATTTATCACTTCTGGAACAGC